TTTCTCTGACCGTGGCGACAGCGACTGACTTTACAAGATGATCTGTGATTCTGTGTATCTGTCCGGTGCTGCCGGTGCTTGATAGGAGGGGGATAGGAGAGGGGAGAGATGCCCCCAAGAGATGACAGGGTGTCATTAACACATCTGACATGTTGTGATTCCGACAACTTCTCTGCCTGTTGCTGCTGGTTTTTCTTACTCAGAAGTTTGGGATTGTTGAAAAGTATAGGATAGATTTGAAATATCTTATATAAATGTGTAGCGTTTTGTTTTTGTTGCAGAGGTTCTATCCCCTGCAGCTTGCAGACAGTGTTTAACTGTAGCTGATTTGAATATGCTGAAAAAGGTTTTTGCATGGATATCGGGATCACACTCTCATTGCGATGACTGTTTGTACCTTTCCATGAACATTGGGGACAGTACAGCCTCTTGGGTTATAGAGTTAGTTAAAAATGCCCTTACGTTCTTCCTAAAATATTCAAATGAGAGCATTAGAAACTCAACAGTGATATAGAATGTTTCACTTACATGTTTAATCTCTAAATGAAAAGGGTAATGTTGCGTTACTTGGTCGGACATTTTTCAAGTAAAAGTTGTATTACTAAAGGAATTGTATGCTACATGTTGTGCCCAGTGACACAAGTGCCAGCTGATTGGTGGTTCAAAGCGTGTCCACTCCTCTATGGGTCAGTTTGTGGTTTAACGGCCGTTGAGAATGGTGACCATATCTGCTGCGCCAGAGACACAGACGGGCTGGAAAATGCGATTGCGAGATCTTGAAGCCGGGACTCTTAAACTTCATTACCCCAAAACTGCGATAGGAAGTTTCCATCCACCACCCATGGGACGCTATCATGACATCATGTTTCAACTGTCATGTGGAGACACAGTGGTAGATTGTAATGAGGGCCAAGAGTGAGAAATTGGTTGCAAATAAAACTCAATGATTTCTTAATTAAACCTTCCTTTCAAAAGGTCATCATTTACATATCTGTAGAAATCCCTGAAGGAAACGTTTTAACACACGTCGCAATGTAATTTTCATAATCTTATTTATATGACCGTTAAGTCTCACAAAAGCTCCAAGACAGTTTTACTTGTGTGTCTTTATTCTTACTTACTTACTAACACTAACAAACTGTGCAAAGTGCTTTTGCTCTTCGGGAAATGAAATGCCTAAAAGCCTTAATGCAGATCAGACTATTTTTTTATATTCAGTTTGTCTCCATAGGTCTGAGAGAGCACAGCTTCCATCTGCACAAATCCAAACGTCAGAATGGAGAGGCTCCTCTTTTTCATTATGGCGCCTTTCGTTACCAGCTACCCTTCATGTTGTAGCATAAAACAATTATCCAGCAGACGCCTCACCGACAGAAGCATCTATATCTCTGCCTCGGCTCAGTAATAATTCAGTGTTGGAGTTCAAGAGACTCAAAGCTATGTCTCTTTGGTCATCTGGGTGTATACGGTTTTCTTTAAAGGGAGTATTTTGGTTCAGGATGCAGCTGGAAAAGAAATAGTACTATAATAATCCTATAATAGTGTAGAAGGATTTCTGTTAATCTAAAAAGTAAAAGTTGGCATAGCTCATTCACTAGTGCGTTTAGAAGCTTTTTGAGCGATGGCCATTCACATTTAGCACTACTGGTCTGTTATAGAGCTCTGTGTTGACAGATTTCCACACTTTCCACTGAGGTCACATCTCGGGAACACAGAGCTGCTCAGACCAAGAAGAACAGATTCAGAAACTATGCAAATTGCCAGTTTTAGCTTGACTAAAGTACCGGTACTACAAACGCATCCGTTGTTTGAAGATCATCTGTTTCATCATTGTACCTTGAGTTCTCAACAGTAAAGCAGCGGTCTGATCCGAATGTTGAAAACCCCTCAGACTCACACTGCGTTGCTCTGCTGGATTTTCCATTCGGCAAGAATCCTTCTCCAGGTTCTTTTCCCTCTTTACTTTCGCTCCAGCTCTGGCTTTGCCTGGCAACTGTATCGAAGGTGATACGTCGATCCACATCTCCTTATTAAACTCTAATCCCAATTGTCTTTGTACTTTTCCCTCGAACGTTTTTCTCATCCCTGCCATTTATTATCTGGAACACAAGGGCCACATGTTAGAGAATCCGGGGTCTCGCTTTGACACGTCAAGAATGAGTGAGAGACACTGGATCGGGTGGAAAGTCCTTTTTGCTCTCTCCTTTCTGTGTACACAGGCATCAGCAGAGCAGCAAGCGGGAGCCTTAGTGTGCATTAAATTATCTGCAATTGCAGCAATTATCCGCAGGTCCAAAACCTCTCACTGTGCCTGCCGGTGGAAAGTAAAATTTACTCAATTACCTAGGTAGAATTCTAAAGTAGGCCTACCCGTTATTTACTTAAATATTTCCATTTAATACTACTCTGCGCTTCAAACCTCAAGTCTCAAGGGGAACAAGTACTCTGCATTTTCATTTTTAAAAAGCATACAGAATTAATTTACAGCATAATGCAAACAAAATTGGACTGCAGAAGTAGTTTAAATTGGTTTTGGCTACACCTAGATATCGGAAATGTTTCTTAGAAAGAATATAGATATATATATATTAAAAAAAATAATATTCCAATTAAATGAAATTCTATATGCATAAAACATAGTGAGGAACTCTGAAGTGTATTTCATTTTCAGCACTTTTTTTTTGACATAAAGCGGAACTAAAATATCTATTTCAATGTCTGTGTGTATTGTGAAACATTTGTACATCATGAGTACAAACCCACGGTGAATGATCACCCGACCCTACATTTCCCCCCAGCTCTACAAAGCGTTCAGCAACTTTTGGGATTTTTTTAAACTGTTAACAGGTCTGCCAAATAAATTACTATTATCTAAATTGCATTAACAGCTTGTTTCTGATCTCCAGATGTATCCAAGGTATCTGTAAACGCAGGTTGAACTTTATTTTGCTTAGTGTTTGCTTTTGACTAAATTAAAACTGTATATTTGGTCTACAGTCATAGAGATAAAGGATGTTACTATTTGGAAGAAGAAGTCACATAGAGTCAGTCTGACAAATCCAAGATTTCTTCAAGCCACCAAATCTGTAGTATTTCCTTCAGAGAAAAAACTCTGACAAAACTAAAGTTTTGCCACAGAAAAGTGCTGTTGGATACTGCTGCGATACAACATGCAAACACATGGAGACAGAACGTCTCATTCCCCATTCACCAGAATCCTGGAAGACAACTGCAGATCCTTTTTTGGTCACACGCTGTTGACTTCCATATCCATATCACAGGAGTCTGTAGTGCGTTGCTTTCACTCTATGAACGAACTGATAAATATTTATAGAAGCTGGAGCTAAACATTAACACTTAGAGCAGCACAGAGATCCATCATAGGTGCATTTGAGGGCAGGCTGCAGGCTGCCGTTCAATCAACACCTTCCCCTTTGCACAACCACACCAATACAGTGGAAGCTTCCAAGCACCCTGATATGTAGCAGCCACGAGTCAGTGATGTGCTTCTGAGTCACATGGTAACACCCACATGACACGTACACACACACACGCCGCCACCGCAAACACACACACGGACACAACTCCAAGCACTCACACCTGCTCACGTACAGATACGCATACACCTGACGTAGCTGTTGATTGAGTTAGACGCCATGGCAACAGAGCTGTGACTCTCGCTGTCCTGTGAGTGGACTGAAGCTGTGGAGGAGGGAGGAAAAGGCTAGCAGCTAGCTCGGCTGCACGAGGGCAGCTATTATTACTCCCAATCTCTCCCTTGCCGTCCTTTGCTTTTCATTTTTCCTTTCCTTCACCTCAACTGGTATCTACAAGCTGCTTATCTGTTTATTCAAGTTCAAATACATAATAATAACTCAGCCAAGGGGAAACTGAGGGGGCAAAGGAAAGGTGAGTGTGTGTGTGTGTGTGTTGTGCAGGCATGTATTTTCATACTTGAAAAAACACAGACAAACACAGAAACAGTCACGTAGTGACAAAGACAGGGGAAGCACACAGACTAAATGCACAAGGAGAGCAGGCCGATAACACACGGGTGGAATAAATCAGGGCGGGGCAGAAAGCCACAGAAGTGGGAAAAGACACAGAGGTAAAACCAGACTTAGAGCAAGGGGACATTGATCTCACAAACAACCGGACACTGAACAAGCAACATAAGCCTGTGATATTAATTTGTTTCGTCTGATATTCCTTGCACTCGCTCTGTTTCAATCACATAACAAAAACAATTTAACGCCTGCTCCCCCCCCGTAGTGTTCTATTTCACTTTTTTTTGCCTCACAGTTAGTTCTCCTCCTTCCTGTTCCTGTCAGCTGTGTTTTATGAAGGCAGTGGTACTGATAAGCAGAGCGGGGGGCTGGGGGGCTGCAGGTGGACAGGCCTCACAAACAGCATCTGTATGAGATTTACTGCCTGCAGATACAGATGGTGGAGCCGCTGCAAGGAGGAAAACGAGAGGGAGTTGTTGGAACGGTGCAGGTGAATTGCTTTTGGATCTTGGGTAGCGTTTTCACGGTCTGATTGTCCGCATTTGTTAACATGCACGCACTCTCGTGCAGTGTGGAATAATGTGTGGAATGCGGCTGTTGACAGTGGAAGTTTGTCTGAGTTAAGTTCGCCCGCGTTTCTCTCCTCCTTCTTTTGCATACGATCCGTGCGCGAACTGCGAAAGGTGAACTCGCAGCCCGCTGTGGACAAATGATGTGTGACACATTTGCCTGTGCTGCCTTAAATGGAGACCAGTGTATCAGAATACGGTAGGCCTCTGAAAAGAGGGAAGGAGAGAGAGAGAGAGAGAGAGAGAGAGAGAGAGAGAAACAGGGAGGGAAGTAGTAAGGAAGTAAAGGGAGGGAGGGGAGGAAGGATACGAGCCAAGGGAGGTAGAGAGCTGAGGAAGGGGGGGAAAAAAGGGGGAGAGGAGGGAGGAGTGACAGAGGGCGTGAAAGGTAGGAGAGCTGCAAAGCAAGCATGTGGTTTCCACTTTTCACTCTCCCCTCAGCAGCAGTCCGATGAGTCCTTGCAGAGACACAGTAAGTCTTTGCTGTTTACTCTGTGCACGTCTGTTACTTTTGTGCCTGTTCAGACGCAGGACTGATCGGCCCCCTCTTAAATTTGATGCTCCGCTTTTCCATTTTGCTCGTTGGATTTCTTTACCCACCATCTGGATGTTGACTGTGATGTGTTTGGGTGAGTGAGTGAGTTGTATGTCTGCTTGAGCGTGTGTGTGCACATATGCAGAAGGCGACCGTGCCTCACCGCTAACGCCATGGAGCTTGAGGCGGGACAGTTTTAATGTGGAAAAGAGCTGAGCAGACAAAAGAATAGGTAACGTTGGGAGTTTAATGTTCTGCAGAGTGGCTGGTTAGCACACACGTGAGCACACAGACACACACACACACACACACACACACACACACACTGACACATGCCTGTCTCATGCAGAATACTGTGTCGCTCTCTCTCTCTCTCTCTCTCTCTCTCAGACCACACTGAAATCAATGGTGTGTGACTACAGTTAACGCTAAAGATGTGCAGCCACGTTTATGGATGGATGAATCAAAACGCACAGCGACGTCTCCCAGACACACGACTGCATGAACAGTCCTGTGTGATGACTGCACTACTGTACAGGAAAAGATTAAGCTCCCGCTTTACTGTCTGAACCAGTCGGACAGGCAAAAACATTAACAGATGTGCTGCATGTACACACACTAAATTATCATTGATAGTTGTATATTATAGAAAGGTTTAGTAAAGTAGTAAAAGTGATTTGCTTCAAATATCCTATTTCTTTTCTTTAATAAAGTCTCCATTGGGAAAGTAAACAAGTACTGTTAAATAATTCAGTTCTATTTCTGTCAGTGTTTCCCCACAAAAAAAAGCTCTGAATGAGAGTGAATATTGACAGAATGTGGAGCGAATACATAATGGTTTGGAGAGAGATGGTTATGTGAATGCTGTTTTTATGGAGAAAATAACAACTAAGGAGGTCTCTCTGTGTCTTAAAAATGGAGTGTTAGCTGGGTTTGTTAGTTCTTCAAACAAAATTGATAAGTGTAACAAATTATTTTTCTTTACATTCTCACCACCTGCACTGTGATTGAATCTGAATCTTTGTATCATAATGCCAATATTACATTTATTTCCTATGCAGGCAGTTGTGGTGAAACCTGTCACTTATCACTGACTGCCAATTTGTTATGAAAGAGGAATGACTGTGATTTTCACCTAAAAAGCTAAAATAGTTCATTTTTTCTTTATATTAAATTAATGCTGCTCATCAAAAAAAATTGTTTTCTTTTTTTTATAAAAAAATTTCGACACCTTTTGCTAACCTTCATCACTAAAACTATTCTTTCTGTGGCTACATACATAAAGCCCTGCAGCGGTTTGAAGACCTTTTCTCTTATATATACCCTTAAGGAAGATCAGACCAAGCAGTGAAAATCAAGTGATTGTTGGGAGCCATATCATTAATATTAATGGTGGATAATGAAATTGATAACCTTAGTTTTAACTTTCTGTTTTGATACCTGTCTACCTTCATATTCAGTGGTGGGGTTTGATTACACTCCCCCGTCTGATCTCAACACCCTTGTCTCTCTTTCACAGTTTCACTTCCTCAACCCCCTCCGCCTCGTTCACCTTAACTCTGCTTTTATTTTATACCTCACTCACATTCTCTCTCTCCGTGTCTGACTCTCAGTGGGTTTGAAAAAAAGCTTCTCTGCAGATCAGAGCGGGCAGATCTACAAGGTCATTAGAGCATATAAGCGCAGCGAGAGCGCGGAGGCCCTCCGATACATTTCACAGCGTATGAGTCTGACTGCGTGTGAGAGAAGAAAGAGATTATGAGGGAGATAAAGCAATGAGGAGAGACGAGGCACGGTTACCTGCAATTCACTGTGTCGATTATTGAAAAATTCCTTTTTCAAATCATTTGTCCTCGTTTCTCCACTCCCCCTCCCCCCCCACCTTCTTGTTTCATCGCCCACCTAATCTGTCCCTTAGAGGTGACGTCATCTCCCTGTTGGGGCCTCAGCCTCAATGTGTGGAATACAGATGAGTCGTGCCTTTTGTATGTGTGAGAGAAAACCAGTGTGTCTCTGCATAATGAGCACAAGAGCACCAGAAAAATCCCGGATTTACATTATTCAATTATTATTAAAAAAAAGAAAATGGGGGGCGGATGCTCCGATCATCCCGATCAAGGTGACAGCGGTAGAACCTGAGTGGAGATGACTGTGACTCTCCAAGCCTCAGCGACTCTGCACGGGGAGCGCGTGACTGCCGGATAAACAGTCCGTCACTCAATTGTTGAGGGGGAGGGGGGGGGTCCGTTTTGTGGCGAAATCATAGTGATCCAGTCAGTGATGTATGATTGCTGATTCCTCTGTCCCCTGCAGGCCTGTCACCTGACTAATGCCCACCAGTGGAAGATGTAATCCGGAGTAAATACAGTTGGCTCCACGGAGGAGCCCTCTGTGATTTCAGCAGACCGAGGTGTCAAACTGAATCACCGGTCGTACGCGGCTGAAGAGTACAGATTATCCGCCGCTCTCTGATGAGCCAGTCAGGAGTCTTGCACTTGGTGCGTCTCTGGCTGCGCTGTGGAAAACTGGCTGTAGATAGAATTTTTTCGGGGAGCATCCACTCTTTTTGGCATTTCCTGATTTGATCAAAACGTCCAGACTGCGGAATGTGAAAGTTTCACACGAGGGCCAAACCATTAGCATCAATCCTCTGCATCAATTGAAGCGTCACAGTCTCTGCGACGATTCGGCTGTTATAACGCTTTGCAGCTCTTCGAGCTTCTAATCAGAGACGTGCTGTTAATGAACCGTCTCCTGTCAAGAGTCTTCCATTGTCACAAACGATCCTCATCTTGCTGCGCTTATTGTATCTCTCCACGTCCGAATCTTCTCTTTCTCTCTTTCGTGTTACATGCTAAATACCTCCACCCTGTCGTTCTCAGACCACCTGGTCCCCTGTCGGCACATTTGTTTGGCTGTCTTCCTGGTTTATGTCTGCCTTGCACGTCTACATTTCTGTTGTCTTTGGCTTGAGTGTGAGAGGAAGAGAGACAAAATGGGATTAAAATGAGTGTGGATGTGTGTGTGTGTGTGTGTGTGTGTGTTTGCCTTAGGCGCCCTCACTAGAAATTCCACCTGCTCGGGTGATACTTTTACACTTGGGAGATTTGACAAAGTCACCTGTCTACTTCTTTCGGTGTCATCTGTCTGCCTCCCTTTCACCTTTTTACATCTATATCCCGTGAACGTCTTCTTTCTATCACTCACTGTCCGTCCTTCCCCCTGTCCGTCCATCTTGTCTTCCTTAGTCTGTGACTTTTCCTTTTTTTAATCTTTCTTGATCCGCGCCTGACCCCCCCTACACACACACACACACACACACACACACACACACACACACACACAAACACACCTCCATTATTATTCCCGAGAGGAGTCGACTGGTCTGGCACTCTGGCTGGTTTATGTCCATGGACTCGGTGACACGCTGCCTCTGCGTTACATCACACCAGAGCTACGACAGCCAGGTAGCAACACTACGGGGAGGACAAAAGTATACGTTGAACAAAACGTACGCATGAATTTTCCCTCCTCGCACAGCACACAAACACAAACATGCTATCTCACATCTCTATTTGTGTGCGCGTGTACTCAAATTGCCTCCCAACCCGTCTCTATGTGCACGTCAGGCTGTTTAAACACTTCCACCGATATCACAGTGCAGGCGACAGCTTGCACACGTGCCACTTGACTGCCCCCGTTGTGTCCCCTCCCCTCTGTTTGTCTTACAGCTGAAGTAGATCATGCATGTTTTGCATGTGTGCGTGAGAGAGATAAAGAGCCCGCAAAAGGGAGATAGTTGTGTGTATGCATACGTATTACTCATATAGTTGTGTACTGAATATCAACGACTGACCTTCCGTCCATCTCTGTGCATCCGTTGCTAATGATGCAAATCTGCTGTCTCATGGTTTGTGGTCAATACAAATGTGTGTGTTTGTGTGTGTGTGTGTGTGTGTGGGTGCGACAAGCTGGCAAATGGAATCCAGCCTAAGACCCTGATGCTTCAATCCGTAGAAACAGCGTGGTAATGGAGTATAGTTTCGCAAACGAGCCGCACTGTGAGATTGAGATGGGAGCCGGTTTCACAGGCTGGATTGAGCTTTTGTCGGCCGGGGCTCACATGTGACCATTGTTAATACACTTGTCGCCCCTCGACAAGGTGTTTCAGCTCATTAATTTCACTGAGAGGTCTGTCGCGCAGTGTTCAACAGGCAGTTGAAGCAGGAAGCAAAATAAAAGGAACAAAAAAAATTTTTTTTTATTGTAACTGCAGTAGATTTAATGTGACAAACCGCAATATCATTGGCAAACGTGTAAATGTATTTAGCATCCATCAGTTCCTGTCAAGTCTGTCATGTATTTTGTAATGAGCCCTTTCATTATCATTAATGGGGTTATTATGAATCTAGAATATTACTTTTGGTATTTAAAGAGACAAGTTAGGACCATGAAACCATGAATGCATGCATTCATTCATGTATTAATTCACACGCAAACACACACACACACACACTTTGTCCTGCAAACAAATTCCATCCTCATATATAGACAACTTACCTTCTCTCACCTCCCACACAGCTGAAGTCCATGCCAATTTTTAGCATCCTCGGGAGAAAGTTGTGGACGCCAAAGGATGGAAAGTGTTTTGTGGAACAACTGACTGACAGCTGTAGATCTCATATATCGCTCTATATTTAAATCAATTTATTCCTACCAAACAGCGAGAACTTGAAAAAGTCCTTAAAGGAACACGGTAGTAGCTTGGCTGTAACGGACAACACGTTAAATAGCAGAACTAAACTGCTAGTGATCCCGTTAGCTTGTAATTAGCCAACGTTCTCCCAGTTTCTACAACACGGTGTCTATCAGTATTCCAAGCTACAGCAGATCGGTTTGTACTCTCATGCTGCATGGAAAACATTCAGCAGCATGAAATTAAAAAAATGTCCGGCTCAAGGAATCACGTTTGATGATAATAACAGCTGTTTAGACTATTCAGGGTCAGATTGAGCTGCTGGGGAACTGAGAGTTGTTATTTCACACATATGTTGTTGTTTACTGTAACATACACAACGTGCATGACTTATTTTCATTTAAGTCTGTTCGTTGTCTTATTCGAGGGAGAGTATATTAATTTATTCCATGATTTTGTCACCTTCTTTCTGTCCCTAAACCAGTCAATCAATCAATCATCAATAGCTAAAGGAGTAAAAATGACTTTGGTTAATCATTGTCTGTTGCTATTCATCTAGATGCTGTATCCCCATTAACGGACAGGAAGGTGTTTGGTTGGTAAAAATGTTCAGAATTCAAAGGGCTCATTTGAAAAGTCTATCATACGCAACTAAGACCTTTGTCCGTGGCTTATAAAACCTTTCCCCAGTTGCTGTCGCAAAGAGGACCTTGAAGCCCATTTCTGTGGTACTGCGGCATGAGGTGACGGAGAGGAGGGTGGGGAGGAGGGTGGGGGCGGACTAAGAAGACTAATAAGGACAGCTGCTATTAAAAGATGAACCACGTTCACAAAGTTGTTTATGTCACATGATACTCTGCAGAAGGCGAGCAGATTTCTGAGTCGTACAAAGAACTGGGGAGTGAAAAAGTGGGGAAACTCTGAGGCATATGCATGAGGGAGGAATGGAAAAGGAGAACAGGTGGGGGATCAGAGAAGGATGAATGAAGACGGATGAGAAATGTCAAGCCGGCATCAGAGCTGAGAGCCAGACGGTGCTTTGAAAAGGAGAGAGATCCTTCTCCATTTCTACATCCCAACTCTACTTTTCCCTTCGTATTCAAATACAAGTACACCTGCCAGTAATCAACCCCCCCCCCCCCTCTCAGCACCAGACACCAACCTCTGTCACTCACGCGCTTGTACTAATTGCTCGTGTTTGCCTCCCTCCGCGCTTCATCTAGCGTCTATCTCTCCCGTTCCACCACCGCTGGCCTCCTTTACTGCGTTTGTCTGTCCCAGAGTCTCCCCCCTCTCCTCTTTCCGGTGCTCCTATCAGGAGAAAGGGCAGCTGGGGTCAGATATATAGAGGGTATCCTGGTCAGTCTGTGATGCGGTGTAACACGAAGCGTCCAGCATCTGCTGGTTAATGCTGCAGTCAGCGCCCCTTGTACCTCTCGCGTTACTGAATCCCGCCTCCCACCCTCCCCGCAACTTTCCTCGTCCTTTACTCTCCTTTCAGAAAGTTGCACCACTGATCAGACACATTTCCTAATGGCCGATGGCAGAAGGCATGCAAACAGATTCTTTATGGATTCGCAACACTTGAGGAGTGTCGGAACCGTCGACTTTACATCCAAACAAACGGAGACCTTTTGGTGGCTGAACAGCAAATCCTTTTACAGATCAGATTTTATACTGTGACTGACTTGGGGAATTTGTTTTTAACCAAATTGTTTCCTCTCCCACAAGTTCTGTCTATCGCTCTCTTGTGTTTTCGCTGTCTGTCGTGTTAAAAGTTCAGCCATAATAATTTGAACAAAGAGGAACCTGTTTTCTTTTCTTCATCATGTTTTTTTTCTTCATTCAAGTCATTAAAGGTGAATAAATCTCCGGGCCCCCTGTTCCCTCTACTTTTCCTCATACAATTGTTCTCCCTCCCTCTGTATTGCACTCAATGGATGGTGTTACCCGTGCGAGGGGCCCTGCCATTAGAGACAGTGCACTTCCATGCGTCTCACCAAGCACAGTCAGTTATTCAGCGGCGCCGGCGTCACCGGAGGCCGAACGCGCGTGTTTTTCCTGGAGAGCCGTCATAGCCATGAAATAATCCCAGAGTTTGGCCCAAACGGGTGGCGCTGTTTTAGTAGACGGATTAGCACATATGATGAGCGTAACCGGGGGGGGCGGTCCGGTGACGCTTTCTTGGCAACAGCGTCCAGAGTGTGACGAAAAGTTTAGCTTAGATGTTTAATATCAATACTCTCAATGAAGTGTGTACGTGTGGGGATTGCGTACTGTAATATCCCCAGCCTCCCCCCTCCCCACCCCCCCCGTTCTCTAATTTATTACCCTGGCCAGTTGATCTTACGGTGTAATAATACCTTCTGCCTCTGGCTACGGGAAATGGCCACATGCATTATTCACACATGCTAAGATGCTTATTGATGACTGCTTTATTTATATATTCCGTCAATGCCACGGCCATTTCTCCCATTTTTTTACCCCTTAGTTTTAATCCTCTGTTGTGACGGGGACTTCGTCTCACCTACTCTGGGTTTGCATTTGGCTGCTTGTTTGATGGGAATTTAGTTCAAGCATTTGGCATAAGATGTAGCCATGTGTAAGTGAGTATAATAGTCCATGTAGGTGGAGCGCCATTCATTAAATCTGCTTTGTTTAATGTCAAAGCTCACGCGGCTGATTTTTGTCATCACTGTTTCCACCGCGGAACCACTCAAGTGCCGCGTGAAAATCCACAGAAGCACAACTCCTTTGAGGAAACTAGCATGACCTTTCCTTGTTACTCTAGTTTGACTTGTCTAATCTGTGTACATTCTCCAGCTATTTGCTTTCACTTCGTTAACGCAATCATTGCAAGCGGCTCATATTCTCTTTTATGTCTGTGCATGGAGTGCAGCGCTGCTTGATGTTTTGTGAGATTTCTCGCTAAATCCACATTTCCTGTTTGAGGCGTAGCTTCCCCAGAGCAGCCGAGCTGCGGTGTGCCGTGTTACTGGTCCAAAAGGCGTGTAAGTGTGTGTATGTTTCTTTTCTGAGAACACACACACACACACACACACACACACACACACACACACACACACTTAAGATAAAGGCTCTATCAAGCTGTTCATTGGTGGTTTCAAGCAGGATACTGTGAATTAAACTCATCTACCCGACAGTAAACAGGGCGGGTTTTATCATGACTTTGACTGAAAAACTGGATTTAATTGACAATAGATCTAGTTTTAACATCGCCGATGGGGCACATTTGATCGGTGGGTCTTTTCCTGTCTTTTCAAGAAACTCAAATGAGACAGAAGACTGAAGCACACAACTGCAAAAAATACCACCCAACATCTGGCATTGAGCAGTACAATACAAAGTCATAGGAGAGGTCAGGGGGTGAGTAAGAATAGGCAGCGTAGACCTATTTTTCCTCTCCGTATTTTATGCACTGGTAATTGTAGCTTTCCTCTTTGCACTCTCGGTCCTTACCACAGTTTTCCTTCCAGATACAGTGGGCTGCCTTTGCCTCTTTCTTGCCCACGCACACTGGCCAAGATACAAGATTTGGGCTAAAAAAGTAGCTCACCGCGGATCTGACCGGTCCCAATAGGATAAGAGAGCGTGACACACAAGCAATCAATGTTTAACTAACAGAGTTTTTTACCTGTGTTTGTTGTACTTCTCTGTATTTTCATTCTCCTCTTTCTTCCACATCACCACTTTTTTTGCAGCTGCCAATTGAAACCCCAGATCAAAGATTGATAAATATCTAAGTAAATCTTTTTTCGTACAGTTCACTAAAAAAAAAACAAGAATCTCCTCTGTTTCATGTCGGGATTTATCTCACTGCTAAAAATATTTAATGTTTGAGTTTCACTATATCAAAAACATGTACGTTACAGGCTTTTGACCATTAGACAAATTATGAACCTCTGGCCTCCAAGGCAACCGGACAGGAACCACGGAACGCCACCAATTTATTCAACCTCATTCATCAGGGTTGGTATTCGTTAGGTTTAATGAAAGTGTTAAGCAGTTTGTCCATGTGCTGAATAAAGCACATGGACAAACATTTAATAGTCAGCCTGGTAGAGAACACAGCAGGACCTTCCGTTTTAACTCCAACAAAAGGTTTTCTGATAATGGAAAATCTGACCACAATTAGGAGATTTGGAGTCACATATTCTGCCTGCATGTTCAGGGAGCCTCCAAAACCTTCATCTTGAAGATACAAATTCGTAGTGATACATACTAAATAAATACAGACTGCAACTGATGACGTCACCCTATTCAAAGTGAATGGGGACCTGCATCCCGTAAACACACTTCGTGAAGTCTAACGATGTAAAATAAACGTGTTATGATTGCATTTTTAACAAGAAATCAATGTTAAATTGTAAGAATACAATACTAACCCTAACCCCCTCAAAAAATCCAACATGGCGGAAAGACGTTCACTCGAGGGGCGTGTTTAACCACTGCCAGTTATTATGTATTGTTACGAATTTGTCAAATATTTCGTTTACATTTTTACGAACAGGTTTTGGAGATCAAGTTGGTTCAGGATGGGGCCGCTGCATGACACTGTGATTGACGGGGAGGGGCAGGGGGGGGGTTTACCCTACATTTTGTTCGGAACTCATAAAAGCGCTTCATCTGTTTGTGGGCTACTTTTGGCGTGATGTGACCCCATGTGGGATGTGGGGTTACGGACACTTACTGTTAGCAGAGCAGCTGTGGGAGTCCTTCGTGGGGCAGTCTGGCCTTTCAACATACGGATGTGAACAGGAAGTGTTTGGATTGAGGCAGCATGCAGAAATGTGTGCGGCAAGCAAAAAAATAAATCAAAATAAAACTCCCATATGTCACATTATTCTTTTTGTCTCTCAAAGCGACTTCATCTATTCTTTGTCTCTCTCTTGTCTCTCCTCCTGCCAGCAGTGATGCTAGAAACCATCCAGACATCTGCTTAGCCATTTCCAAACTCACCAGAGATTGGCGGACTGATAACTCGAAAATTATTACTTTTATAGTCACACATTGCAATTTTTTTTAATGATGCCTATGAAAATGGTACAATGTGATCCGGAAAGGTTGAATTGCGATTGTTCTGAAATGATGGCTGATTTTAACGCATTATAGAAATAAACAAATCCTCATGAATGTGTATAAGTCTGTAATAGTTATTAATTTTTTTGACCTGTATCTAAAGGCTGACCTATCCAAATGACCTTCATCGAGGAATATGTATTACCATTGTTTTGTTAAACTGTAAAAATTGCAGTGGGAATTTGCATTAATCCTCAATGTCTTTGCATAGATTACTGTGTGCATAAAGATTTCTCACCGCACACCGTATGAATCTTCTCTCATCTTCTATTTTTTTGTCTCTCTCTTCTTCACCGTCATCCTGTTGAAATCATTCTCCTTTCCCTAAACGCGTGAGGTTCACTCTTGATAAATGGGGTTTGATTTGATTTTCAAGCTGAGGACGTGGCAGTGCGTTCTACCTAGAGAGAGAATCTGCAAGAGGAATAACGTTGGCGGGTGTGTGTGTGTGTGTTCCACTGACACTCCTCCCTTCTTCTCCACAGAGTAAAGTGCCTTCTTTCGGTGACCCCCGCGCCTCTGACTCTGTGCCTGTCCATGTCTACCAGAGTGGTCAACCGCACCAGAAGCCCCGGACAGTCAAACCCAACGGCTTGGCCAGTCTCCACACCACTGACACCTTCCTCCTTCCCTCCGTCTCCTGATCCGTCTGCCAGCCAGACCTCCCTCCATCCATGCCAATCAGCCCTCCTCGGCGGAAGCCAACACCTCCCCACTTATCTGCAGAAAGAGCCCGATATTGAAAGCTGCTTTTATCGGCTCCTGTGAGCGCAGGGATTCTCTGTGCCGTAACCCGCCCACAGCAGCATTCTCCCCCGTCCTCCTTCTCCTTGTGTTCATCGTTCTGCTCCTTCCTCCTCTTCTGCAGCCCTGCATCTTTTTATTTTTATTTATTTTTTATTATCATGGACCTGCTCAATCAATAACGTGTTTTGCCATTCATCTCATCTGACAGTTCAGCCGAGGAGCGAGGTGATAGCCAGAGCTGTGTGTGTGTGTGGGGCCGAGGGAACGAGAGGGAGATTACAAAGCAAGCCGCTGTGGCTGTCACTAGTCAGGCCCTTGGTGACAGGCGCTGAAGGATTCCTGTTACAGCCACAAACAGACTCTTAGGATGGGCCGCAGGTGGTAGGCGAATCCCACCCTCACAGGCTTCGCCCTCAGAATCACATCCTGGGGACTCAAACCTCTTAGAGCTAGCTTTTGTTCCCATGTCCTTTACCTGTTTTTTCTCATCACTTGCCCCAGCGCCATCAGAGACATACAGTACAGGCACAAATAACTGCATTCGTCGGATATCTATTCCTCTGAATCGCCCCCTCCTGACTGGTTCAAGATGGCGGTGAACATGTCACAGATCCGGGACACAAAGTGGCTCACGTTGGAGGTCTGTCGGGAGTTCCAGAGAGGAACGTGTTCGCGGCCGGACAGCGAGTGCAAGTTCGCCCACCCTGCCAAGAGCTGTCAGGTGGAAAACGGCAGAGTCATCGCTTGTTTCGACTCACTCAAGGTGAGTAGAAAAAAACCCACCCGTGATATTCTTTAAAATCTGACTTGCCTTCTTTTTTAAATTTATTTGACCATCATCATCGGGATGTTTCAAACTTTGGATTCTTTGGGAATACCAGTTGGAACCTAAAGAGAAGGTTTGGTTGGTGGTTCAGGGCTTGATGCAGGGGAGGTTTGTGGTAAGTTGTAAAGAAAAGCCTTTCCTTGCTAACGAGGTTAAGCCGCGGCAGGGGGGTGAATACATACGTGTATGAATGCTATTTTAGACTGCGCGTGTGTGACTTGGTAAGCCGAGATGAGGCAGTAACGGCAGTAGCATCTGTGAATCCGACATGGAGTTTCCTTCCTTTGCACATGAGATTAGCAGGACTGCTGGCACGTTGCTAAAGTCAGTGTGGGATCGTCACATCAACGGGCTGGAGAGCAAATATAGAAGTGGGGCAGCACACTGCATTTCATTTTGTATATGAGCATATGTGTCTGTGTTATTTTGAGGTCATGCAGCACAGTGGGGCTCAGAAGGCTCCCTAACATACGTTCTAATTTTGCCCTGGCAATAAACTCCCACTATGCAGCCTCCCCCTCCTTCCCTCCCTCCCCCTCAGTCGGGGGCAATCCAACAGGGGAGAAGATGGAAAGTGGAACGGGGCGGTGCATATTCATTGTGCCAAGAAAAGATTTACTGATATTTAACAGTAAATCAGTTCATTAGAAGGCTTATAGTGTCGATAGACTGTGAAGTCAGGGAGAGGTGACTTTTGATCAAAGTTTCTTCAGCCGCAGGTTCATGAAGCTTTAATTCATGTCAGGTACTGTTTACCAATTTACCAATTACACTTTTTAAATTATTTTATTCAAAACCCCAAATGAATGAAACATGTTTGATGGCGGTGGATTATAAAAATGTAATAATTGAGATACTTCCTTCCGGACAAAAATGGGAAAATGACAGACTACTCCACCAACCTGGGTAGACATGTGTAGGTCAGCTTTGTTTTCTTTGTATACTCTGAGACCCCTTTCCCCAAAACAAAACCACAAGTAATTAATCAAATTTTATAGATCAGGTGATTAGTAAAACAAATGAAAATATGTTGCGAGTAAATGTTTTGTAGATCTGTAGGTAGGTATCAAACATTTGATAACTGAATCCTCAGTTACTGCCTTACTTACTCTATAAACCAAAAGTCTCAGAGGCAACGAAAAATAAGAAGTAAGTCTAAAAAATGATCTCAAAACCCATAAACAAACGCATATAAATGAATATACGCCTGGTCCCGGTTTTAATAGAACAAAACGGTAGGAGAAGGTGCGAAGGGTCAGCTGTGGCTGCGTGTGTCATGGACGAGAGCCAAATATAAACACTGGCCTTTTGTAAGATAGTATATTATTCATGCAGATAAGCACATGTGTAAGAATACATGTCACAAACACAACGTGTGCACACACACACTTGCACCGAGTGGTATTTCAGAGTGCAGCCTCATTAATCCAGATGCTAATAAATGTATCAGATACAACCATATCCGTCAGGTCAATCTGGGTATTTTGTTAGTACAGTGGTTCTGCACCCCACAGTTCTGTCTACTGCGAAGCGCCCAAGGCCTGTCATTTATATTCTATTTGACTGGTAAGCAGGGTGTTATTCAGGGGAAACTGGAGACCAGAGCTGGAAGTCAGTCAAGCCAGTCCGGGGGATTTCTTGTTAAGTCAGGCACTGTGTTATTATAGTTCTGGGCTGTTCAGTTGGACCTCCGATGACTCGGGCGGGTTTCTGTGAGTCCAGGTGACACAGGAGTGGAAAAAGGGCGAAAACAGACATACAGGCTGAGCCGGAGAGGGCGGGAGCTGGCCTTGCAGGGAATGTGTGAGGAGGCAACGCACTGTGCTCGGTACCCTTTCCCTGCGCTGAGTGCCAGGGCATTCCACAGTCCACCTCCCCTCCCCGCCTCCATGACAGAATGATAGATCTGCTCTATCTGCAGATTCATTCATAATACATAGCTGGACATGGGGAGACGGGCAAAGGGATAGGCAAGGGCATGCAGGAGGATGGGGAGGGAATAAAGGGAGTAAAGGGGTGGGTGATGGTATATGTGGCTTCGCACTCCTGGACAAATTTGCCACGCCAGCCGTCCTTCATCGCTATTGAAATTCAGGCGGGCAAGTGAACACTTACTTATTTAATGCCGTTGTTTTTCTCTCTTAGATGCAATAAACTATCCTTGTTTTATATTTTTGTATTATTAAAATACAAAATACAATTTTTTCTTGATGTATCGTAGATGTTTTTAGTAGATACACTTCATTCGCTCCTGCAGAGTGAACAAACAAAGCGGAGTCAGCTGTGTGTATCGTGGCATGTTCCACGTTATCGGTGAGGTTAACCAAGGACAGAGTGACGGAGGTGAACAGGAAATGAGAGAGATTTGCTAATATCAGAGAGAATTTGAGTCTGTGATCACTATGGTAATAAAGAAACTAACATGACAATGATGTGAAGAAAGTCTACGGGTACAATGCACAGCTTTAACATTATTTCAAAGAAATGCATATTTACACATTTAATATTGGAAGAAAGGTATGAAAAGCAATGGGGTTTCAATCGACAAATGAAGGTGAATGGGTTCGATTCGAATCATGACATGCATATATTAAAACAATTAATTCAGTCTCATGGCTTAAAAAAGTTGATGTATTGTCATCATCAAATGGGCACACGCCTCGTAACTAAAAGCTGTCCTCAAAACTGATGTATTTAGTTTTTTTAATGGAAGAAGTCTACATATGTGTTTATACAAAACCTAAAGAAGATTTTCAACACTGGTGGCTGATCAGCAAACACTCACACAAAATGTTTTTTTAAAGCACGGACAAGCGACCAATGTGGACTTTTAGTACAACTGTCTGTGGTTGTAGAAACATTTTAAGAATGAATATTATCTTTTCCTTATTTCGGTCTGGCAGAATAAGATAAATTCCCCATTAGGCAGCGATGGGAAACAGGTCAGGGTGTGCCAAAGAGCTGCATGAGCTCTCCTACAGCATGATGGACTACTGATGCCACGTTGAAATGGACTCACTGGGTTGGATTAGCACTTAATTTCTTGTCATTAACATTTTTAACCTTTTTATTGCAAAGTGTATTTTTACAGCAAACTTCAGTTTTTTTTCAAGAAATCCCCCGTAACAGACGGTACGTTTTTCCATGAGAAGAAACATAAAAGAGGAGATGATAAGTGAAGCGTTGGCTTTGTGAAAATCCCTGGAACAAAATTTTAAATTGATAAATAAACAGTACATATACAACTTTATTCCTGCTGGAAAAGTTATGCTGTGGACACGTTTCTGGTAAAATTTAAGCTCTAAATAGATTTTTACTTGTGTCAACATGAAGCCTAACAAGTCCACTAAGGAATTAACAATTTTCTTTTTCATATACTTCAAAGAAAATAACATTACATGACAAACTTCAAAGTGGTCATGGATATGAATTAGTAGTTATTACTTTAGGGTCTTTAGGGAATATGATAATTAAAACCTGTGGATGCATTTTCTTGGACTTGGTTTTGACTAAATATTTGATTTCTTCACATGAACATGGTGGCGTGGTGGTTAGCACTGTCGCCGCACAGCAAGAAGGTCCTGGATCTGACTCCGCCCAGCGGCCTTTCTGTGTGGAGTCTGCATGTTCTCCCCCCGTGTCGCCGTGGCTTCTCTCCAGGTTCTCCAGCTTCCTCCCACAGTCCAGAGACGTGCTCTGGGCATCAGGTTGATCGGCGACTCTAAATTGCCTGTAGATGTGTGGATGGCTGTTTGTCTCTGTGTTGCCCTATGATTGGCCCCCGTCTGGTGCCCGATGTTAGCTGGGATTGACTGCAGCCCCTCCACCACCCCTGTGTGGAGGATCAGTGGCTTTGAAGATAGATGGATGGGCATGGATGAGTGGCAATTGGTAAATTTTTCCAGTGTTCAACCTCCAGCCCGTAATCAAGACCAGATTCTGCCAAAAAATGGTTTAAATTCCCTCCTACTCCGAGCATCAAGAGTATAAATATTAAACACTGCCATGACCAATTTGACATTTATGCATTTTCTAATTTATAAATTAACCAATGTACAAAGCTTTAACTTAACTTTAACTTAACCACTTGTTTATTTTACTATTCTTTTCTCAAATTGATGTTGAGATGACGTGCCCTGTAAGTCAATACTGCAACTGCATCTGTGGCCTTATTCACGACACAGGAATTTAATATTATCACTATTGTACTCCCACTGTGTATTTTCCATTGATTTCATGAGTTTGTTATTCTGGTCGCCAGCAGCCGTACTGTGATGATTTTATGTCTCACTTTACAAATAAAGACACATGTAATGAAAGACTTGAGGACGAGATAAAAAGCTAAAACATTCTATGAAATACAGCTTTGAGCCATCGGTTAGATGTAATCTGGTTGGCTAACTGTCAGAGAAAACGATTGGTTTTCATAACAAAAAGGTTCCTCAACGACAAAGTAAAAGTTCAGACAAAAGTGAGAATAACAAAGTTTTCTGGCCAGTGTGGCCCCCGACTTTTTAACAGAGGACAAACTTGCTTTATATTTGGTTACCCGGCAGTGTTCATTTCACACTGAGTGTCTTAAAGGTGTCGTGTGAAGATAAGATCAGTGAATTTGGAAAAGAACAGTTGACCAGACATTTGCTCTCTCACGCTGCTCGGCCATTTAGCAAAACGCGTGATCACTTTGACGTCTAATATGCTGTCCAGCTCCAGTTAATTGGGCTCAACAAGACACTCCTAAGCCATGTTCCTTACAGAAAGGCCTACAAAGGTGCTGTTACTAGGGGTGTAACGATTCATTTTAACAGCGATTCGATCCGAATCGCGATTCATGGTTGCCGATTCGATTCATGGACGATCTGGGTTAATTTAGAACGATTCGATTCAATTCAGTGACTTACAATCGATTCAGTTACTTTACTGGACAGTGGAGGCAA